ACCCACAATGCATTGCACTGTTGCTAGAATAAACTTTCCCAAACAGAAATGAAAACTTCAACCCTGTATTGCTATATAATGAGAAAAATCCTTACGCTCCTTTATTCTCATTATTAATATCATTATTCAAGTCATTTTTGTTCTCCTTTGGGGGAAGTAGGTGGTTAACACAGATTTTCTTACTCTGCCTCAGGTCTCAAACATCACAAAACCATTGCAAAATCCACAAGCATTACAATATCAAAGGAAACCTCAAGAAGGCCTTCCAGAGGAGACTCATGGAGGGAAAGCACATACTGTTCAGGAAATTACAGAACAGCAAATATCAGAGAGATCATTTCCCATGACTAAAATGAATTAGCTGCAACAAACCAAAACACACAGATAACTGTCCACCAACATGTGGCTCTGTCATTAGAAACAACGTGCTTATTTGTGAATAAGTTATGAGGATGACAAAGAACTTCTGGGATTATGTCTTGAAAGCAAGGTATCGTGAGAGAACTTGTGCTCATGGCCAAGGGTGGTCATTCAATATCTTATTACCTAACAAGAAAGTGACTTTTGAGAGTTTCATGGGCTATTTATGTGTTCTGTGTGCAACTTGGCAAGGATATTTCCTGACATGCATTTTGTGTAATATAACATTATAAATTTGATGTCATACCCTATATATACATTTGCTGGTCTCAAAATTTTATCAGCCTGATTCCCATAATATGAGAAGAAAAACAAAGACTCTTATCATAGTTCATTACAATTAAGAAGAAATTTAGAATTCCACTATTTAAAATCTCTCACTTTGTATGGGAGAGAATAGAGATCCAGAGATATGACTATTATTGAAGGACTCACTCCCAGTGAGGGGATAAATTTATATATTTGGCCTGGGCAATTTATAGTCTAGGTTTGGTGTTCTTTCAAATAAACTACAATACCTTATAAAATGTCCATGATACTCAACTTTCTCCAAGAGAACAAACAGGAAGAAATGACCATATTCTTTGAGAAAGTCAAAGAAACCAATAAGTCAGATGATTCACACAATAAACACAATAAAGAGACTGAGATTAGAATTGCAGTCCATGACTCCTCTTCTGAAAGTTGATTTCCTGTCTACAAAGTTATGAGCTATGACTTTTGGGGATATTACACAAAAATATGCATTTTTACAAGTTCAAGATGAGCCGTAACCTTAATTTGAGATTCATGATCAACAAACACAAATTTTACATAATCATCAAAATTCTAATACTTTTTTTTCTGCTAAAATGGTCAGAATGCAAAAAAACTAATGACATCTTGCATAAGTTTTCCATTTCCTTTGGAACACTGTACTTCTAATTCAGCATATCAGTATGTAACTGGGGCAAAACCATTATTTTGGAAAGAAAAAAATCAACGTTGTTATCATCTTTTAGGTTATTACATCAAGCAAAGCCATTTCCAAAGCAAAAACTATGTATCCACAAAAATAAATCAAACATTTCAAAGTATAAACAAAGAAAAATTTATACATAAGCCTGCAAAACTTCAAAGAAAGGGCAGGATTAAGTGAGAAAAGAAAACATCTCACAAATTTGGCTCAAAATCTGCACTCTTTCTTGGTATCTGAAGCATCTGAGACCTAATAGAAAACCTTGGTTTCCAGAGGATAGAAAAATAAAAGTTTAGCATAGTTTTGTGTATTTTCAGTTTTTGCAGTGAATTCTATAGCATTGGTGAAATGAATTTGGATAGTATTGTGGCTCCAAAACTGAAGAAAATCTATCTCCTATGACTGGAATTTGTTGGAAATCATTTTTTACACTGCAATCCACAAACACAGTGAGATGCCCATCATGTGCAGGGGTGTATGTGTCTTGTCTCTGGAATGTAAACTGCAATGCATAGAAACAAGCTGATATTGTTAGCATGTCTGATTGCCTGTAGCTGTCAATCTTGGGAGGGGGCAACAGATGAATTATTGCTAATAATTTCAGAGTATGCACATCCTGTGCTTACATGTTACTAGAAAGAACAAAATACAATGAATCTGATGTGGACAAGGAATGCAAGAAATATTTCTTTCAGACTGTCAGCAAGCAATGGAACAAATGAGATTTATGGCAGAATTGGATATGTGATTTATAGTTTTGCTTGTTCTTCATTTACAAGAGGAAATTAAAACCACACTTGCATACGATTCCATCTTTGATCACTAGAGAATAGCTGCTGTGAATTAATTATTATAAATTCTATTACACTTGTTCACCCCAGGTGTGGTATTTGTAGGACCTTCCAACTAGTATCTCAGGGGAAACTGACCTCCCCCATTTTGGTTAGAGTTTTGAAGGAAAAATATCTGTTATTTGGCATTTCACTGGGAAGTCATTTATTACTTAAGGAATTAATTGAATAATCTTATGGGAAGAAAATAATTAGAAGACCCAGAATAAATTGTTAACAGCTATTTACTAGCTCAAGGAATGGGTATCTGTTCTCCGTTAATTATCTATAAGCCTGAAATCAAATGCTTAAATTTATTCAAAATTATTTTCAGCTTTGATAGTTCCACTTATCTCTGTAAGTAAGCATGGAAAGTATTTATTTTATTAAGAAAATATTCTCTTTATTTAGTTTCCATTTAAAACAATAGAAAGAATTTATTCGGACTGGTGATATAGCTCAGTTGCGAGAGTGCTTGCCTTGCATGCACAAGGCCCTGGGTTTGATCCCCAACACCACACACACAAAAAAAGAATTTATTGATTAAAATATATTAAGATGAAAACAGAACACTGCAATGGATCACTGAAAGCAATCAAAAATATGCCAAGGAAGGAATCAATTTAAAAAATTATAAATACCCTACCACAAATTCAATAAAATACATGAGTAAATTTCATGATTAATCATAAGAATCCAACACCTTTTGGAGAGACTACTTACAAAACTTTTAATGGAATAAAACACAAATTATAAAAGGAAAAAAAACTCTATATTAAGGTCCCAAATATTATAATTCAGGAAATGCATTCAGCTGTCATGTATAACTCATTAGAACAAATACAAAATAACTTAGCGATGTTAAAATATAAGACAAAAAGTCTTATTTGATCCTGTCAGCTGCAAGTGACTGTGGAGAAATTGAGCATGATTACATACCTTACTGATGGAACAGCAGAGAGTGGGCTACTTTAACACAAGGGATTGGACCTTCAAACGTTTTTTTTTAATTGGAACATTTACCTTCTAATTTTTCTTTGATTCTCTACAGATGCATCCATTTTGTTTTCACTCCTAGATTCTAAAACAATTCAAGAAATAAGGGTGATAGAAACATTTATTGTTATTTATAGGAATCCCCTCTTACCCACACCTGAGCTTATGTAAATGAGCTTACTTTTGGGAAGCCCCAAGATAACCACAGGACAGGACGGGAGGCTGGTGGCCAGGGGAGGGAACCCAGCGCAGGAAATTTCCCAAAAGCAAGACATCCCAGTGTTGCAGAGTAAGGTCATCTGTGGAGACAAAGTCATCTCAGATATGCTTGGTTACCAGTTTATAAGATCATGCCAGAAAGATTTCAGATGTGCCCCTCAGAGTAGCAGGCATTAGTTTCTTAGAAGGGATAGGAAAAGAGAAAAAGAAGACACTTTCAAAAGAGTGGGTGGGTCCACTCAGAGAAGAGCGGAATGATGTGCCCCTCTTGCCCTCAAGTTTTGTTGGGGTCCCAGGGAAGTTTTCAGAGAGTCCTGCCGCATCCAACTCTTGACTTTGGACTGAAAAGCAAGATTGCCTCAGACTTCCAAGCCCCCATTGAATATGGTCTTACCCCATGAAGGGGATACTTTACTATTACAATGACATGCTAAAGGTCCAAGAAACTCTGGGCCCCTTTGGTTCAAGCTCTTTCTACTTGTTCTTACAAATTTTATGCTTGGGGCCTTTGCTTTTTATTATCCTGTCAATTCTTGAGTTCTTGAATCTGGTCTGTGTGAAGGTCACAAAAGTCCCCCTTCAGGGTTACTTCTGTTCTTCTTATTGGCAGGGAGGATCCTTTGGACCTGCATTCCTCCTGCAGATAACAGGCTGTTTGCTGAGGAATATAATATATCCTATTGACTAAAGCCATGCAGAATACAGATTTTTTTTTTTAATAAAGCATGTCGTCTGGGGTTGTGGCTTAGTGGTAGAGCGCTTGCCTAGCATGTGTGAGGCACTGGGTTCAATTCTCAGCACTGCTGATAGATAGATAGATAGATAGATAGATAGATAGATAGATAGATAGATAGATAGACAGACAGACGCCCATTGACAACTAAAAAATATTTATAAAGAAAGTATGTGAGGCTCAATGTCATAGACCAAATTTATAGAATTATTGCCTTAACCTCAGGTTCCCATTGCTCATGGCTGTCTCTTACATATCACCAGAAGTTTTGGGATTGGTTGGTGAGCAAGATTATATTCACATGACAAGAGGGTTGTGCACCCCAAAACTCCATGAGGATAGAAGTGCCTTCTGGATCCTCCTCTTAGGTTTCCCTTCACACCTCTGTAGATTTGTTCCCTTTAATGTATCTTTGCAATACATCAATGAGCATAAGCATGTTGTTTTCTTGAGTTCTGTGAGCCATCCCAGCAAATCATCAAACCTAGGAGGGGGTTATGAGACTCTCTCTAATTTGTAGGCATGTGAAGTGGAAGGGAAGCTGTGGGTAACATGAGAATCACCACTTGAAATTGACATCTTAAGTGGGGAGAGGGACTTATGGTACTGAACCCTTAACCTGTGAGTTCAGCACTAACTCTAAGATGTTATTAAAACTGAATTAAATGGTAGAGCCCTGGGTTGGAGAATTGGAGAATTGGTTAGGGTAACACGGCACGGAAGGTGTGAGAAGTGAAGTGTTGAGAAAGAGCAGAGGAGTGTTAAATAAAAATTAGAGGTGGCCATTATTTTTGATCTAAGCTCCTGCTCTATGTTCACAAACAAAAACACATAAAGGTTGAAATAAAAGCAAAATCCCAAGTTTTATCTGGAAATAGCATTCAAACGAGAATAGCAGTATTACAATGGAAATATACCTAACATAGTAAATCACAGACATATTCAAAGAGGTTGAGACAGGGAGAAGTTTTTAAAGGTAAAAGTGAGGGCATTTACACAAGATGCATTGGAATAATAATTTTTGATTGAGAGATTAATAATGAGGGTGACCTCCTAAGTTTGAGTAGATAGATGCTGGACAGATTTCCTTGGAGAAGCACTATTAGATTGCAGTGGCCTCTACAAGCTCATGGTTCTGGAAGAATCTTTTTTGATGGTTATCATCAGGCAACCATGTGTAAGAGCTCTTCTTTTATAACTTTTTAGCTTTGTTTATTTTTGTTAGAGTTGACCCAAGCAACTCCATTTTGATTTTGGTAACTTTTTAAAATAGGTCTCAATAGAGGAAGCTTAAAATCCATGTGGAATCACTAATGCTGAAATTCCACATCACCAAACTGAACTGAGGTTGTCAGGTGGCCTTCCTAGAAACCAGGAGAAATGAGAGAGAGAGTACCCTATTTTCCAAGAAGGCTAGTGTCAATTATCAGAATAATAAAGTTTCCTCTGTCTTTAGTCCTTATCTCTTTTAATCATAATAAAAAAGTAACTTTAAGTAATCTGATATTAAACCCATCAATTATATTTTCTATTATTTTATCTTTATAAAGAAAGTAAACTTTAAATGACCAGTTTACTTTAATTTCTCATTTCTGCTTTCTTCAGCTTATTTCTTTCTATAATATCTACTGGTCAGCTCATTGAAGAACTTGCTCTATTATATAGAATCAAGTATTGTCCAGTCTCAAAAATAAAAGTAACGCCAACTAAGAACTTTTTAAAATATCTTTATTTTATGTTTATGTGGTGCTGAGGATTGAACCCAGTGCCTCTTGCATACTAGGCGAGTGCTCTACCTCTAAGCTATACAACCCCAGCCCCCAACTGAGAACTTTTAACTAAATTGTTGTAATTTGTCCTTTGACAAAGGAAACAGCATTTTTCCTTTCAAAACTTAAAACACCTTAAACAAAACCAGAAAAGGTATTGTTTCAAGTTCTCTAAGATGTAAATGGAGCCAAGAACCTCATAGTTGTTATTATTGGTGATCCTTAGGAAAATGTGCATTCTTTTCTTAAAAGCTTCCAGCAAAACCCTAAGAATTGTTGATGTTGACCTGGCCTGGCTTTATTCCTATCTCTGCATCAATTCCTATTGATTAGAATGAAATAAATGTTTAACTGACCTGAATCAGATGCCCATCTCACTCAAACTCCAGAGCCTGAAAACATTGCACAGGTGGTTTCCAAAGAAAAGTCAGGATCCAGTCTCCACAGAACATGAAAGCAATGCTGGACAGGAAAAAGCAGATGTTCACCAAGAGCATGTTAAGAAATTTTTCTGAAGTATGTTGCTTGTATATCTACTGCCAGATAAACTGCTCAAATATAGGTAAGTTCTGCCAGGAGCAGAGATAAAAGGTATTAATTTTTATTAACTTAGTTAATTGATGCCTTTTAAAGTACAATCTAGTGTTACTACTTGTTTGTTGGGATTTTTATTTTTTACATATGCCCAGCACTTAGTAATATAGGACTATTCTTTCTAAGGGGTAATATTTTAGTGAAGTTAATTTTAAAGCCTGCTTGTCATAATTTTAGAATATACTAAAGATTTTAGATGGCAAATAATAACCCATAGCTTTACTACCCAAGGCCTTTTGGTGTCTTTCATTTCTCTTCCCATTCTTTCTTATTACAAGTTTCTGTTTATGTAATTTCTTTCATATTTAAATTTTCATTAGGTGTTTTTAACCTACATTCTATGTTTAGCACTGCATTGCTAATATCCGCTTGTTATTAGAAATTGTTCATGGAAAGAATTTTAATGAATTAATAAAATTTTATTCATAACAATTCTTATTACTATATTTGAATGTTAATATTACTTCTAAAGTTTTATGTTTATAAATAATGCTGCCCTGAATACCTTCTTGTCAAAGTTTTATTTTCCAAATTTCATTTCCTTATGAAAATTTTCAAGAAATAAGATTTCAGGGCAAAATGTTATAAGTGTACATTATTGAATAAATTGCCTTTTTAATTTGATTTTAGAATTTTCTTTATAATCACTAACTAAAAAAATATTGAAACATTGAACTTAGCGTTTGTTTAGCAAATAAATTTGGAACACCAATTGGATGCTGTACGGCACATTGTAAGGATAAAAAACCCAGTCTCATGGAAAGAAAGAAGACTTATGTAAAGACATAATATGCAAACTGGGACCTGAAGAATGGCTCAAAGTCAAGAGGAGAATTTAAGTAGGAAAGGAGAATACGTAAGGAAAAACACATCTCATACAGAAGATATAAAATGAGAAAATGCATGCCATGCTTGGAAAATCACATGCATTTTAACATTACTGGAAACATGAGATTGGAGAGATGAAGTAGGCCAGATTTCCAAAGGGTCACCTGCAGGCATGGGGGGTGTCAAGAGGGACAGAGTCTGATGCTTACATGGCCCTGGCTCTCCATGTATCATGTTGCATTATTTAGATTTTTACCCCATTTAGTGAAATTCTATGATGCAAATTCTAAAAGGTGGTATTATAGCACAAAGAAGGAGTTGGAATAAAAGGAGGAGAGTAATGTAGAAATTTAAATCAATAATGTTTCCTGTCTGGTGCAGGAATATGAGTGGAGAAGCTTCCTTCTCCTATCCCAGGAAGAATGAACTCCAAGAATTTCTCTCAGCACAGGGCTGCTAAAGACTAGCTAACCTTTAGGCTGACATAACTTAAGGAGCATATGCATATTTCCCAGAGAGTACCTAACAGTTGAGTGAATATAATAAATTCCTTGTATTGCTTGCCCATTACACACTTCAGATTGCAAAAAGCCCTATTTGACCCTCTGAAAATTTACAATATCAGTGAATAATTTCCACATGAAGAAATTGAGCTCTACTTTGTCTGTTTTTTATTTCAATTTCTGCTTCTTTAGGACTTGGCTCATTCTGGCCTCACCTTGGGATGTGTAGCTTGAAAGCTGTTCATGGAAGGAAGTGGCTCTGGATATAAGAAAACATGCAAACATCAATGCAGCCTACACGTCTGTAGTTGCCAACTCACTGCCAAAATGCCCAGGTCATATTTTGAAGAAATTCCTTGACAGAAAGTTATAAAAGAAAAATAGTGGTAGAAAGGCTTGGGGATGGATAGCTCTGCCAGAGAACAAGGTCCTCTTCCTATCTTTCTGTACAACTCATTAGGGACCTTAATTGAGCCACTTTGCTGTCATAAACTCCCCTGTCTGTGAAATGAGGATAATTATTGCTGCCCTTTCCTTTGCCCTTTGATAACTTCACAGGGGTGTTCAGAGATCTTATGAAGATTAATAAGCCAAATGCTTGTAGAGTGCTCTAAGCTCCCCACACGGGAGAGGATAGCAAATTAAAATCCATTGCTTTGAGAGCACAAGGGGCCAGATACCAGAGGCAAGGATCCAGAACCTTCAAAGTCCTTGGTCAGGCTCTACTTTGAGTGTTGGAGGGTATTTCCATACGATCTCTGGCCCACAGAACATTAGTTACTCACCTCATGTCCCAATGTGCCCTTACTAGGTCTAGTCTAGTACTTAAAGCAATGGACCAGATCTTGAATTACACATTGTATTTCCTTTTTTTTTGGGTGGGGGGGTTTGGGGGCCGGTAGATGTGATAGACCGAACAGTGGCTCTCCAAATATGTCTGCATCTTAATCCTCAAAACATGTGGATATGCTCCATTAAAGAGAAAAAGGGATTTAGTAAATATGATTAAGTCAAGGGGGTATTAAGATGGGGAGATGACCCTGGGATATAGATTTGATCTCAATAAAACATCAAGGCACTAATAAGAGGAAGGTGGTTAATAGTAGAACAGATCATGATAAAAACAGGAGGTTGGAATGGGGCCAGGAGAGGGCACTGGACCAACAAATACTGGCACCCTCTAGAAGATGAAAAGGCCAAGGAATAGATTCTCCTTGAAACTTCCAGAAGGGACACAACACAAAAGATATCTGACTTCAGACTTTTTAGCCCCAGAACTCTAAGGTAGTAAATATTTGTGGTCATAAGTCACTCCGTTTATGATAATTTGTTATATCAGCAATAGGAAGCTAATACTATAGGCATGGTGTAGTATATGTGTTGAATGGCAGCCTTCAAAAGATGTCCATATCCAAATTCCTAGAACCCATAGACATGATTTTGTTTGTCAAAGGTGTCTTGCAAATATAAAATAAAGTTAAAGAATTTGGAGATACTAACATCTCAAATTACATAGGGGGGTCATAAATCCAATGATAAATATTTTTATAAGAAACAGAAGAGAAAACAGAAAGAAAGAAGGGAAGACCCTGTCAAGATGATGGAAAAGACTGAAGTCACACAGACCAGCTGAGAAATGTCAGGAACAACCAGAAATTTTAGAGTCCAAGTTTGACTTTTCTTCTAGAACTTTCAGACGGTGCACAGCACTGGCAACACTTTGATTTTGAACTCCTAGCCTGCAGAACTGTGAGAGAATGAGTTTCTTTAGTCGAAAACATACATAGCTATATATGTATATATGTTTATATACAGACATACATATACACAGACTTATAGACATACATATGCACTGTATATACTCTATACATATCTATGCACTATGTCTTTACACTTTTCATATATATGTGTTCATATATGCATGATCCCTTCAAGGAAACAGCTTGACAGTTCTGGGCATTCCTCATTCATCGTGGAAAAGAAAGGAGAAGGCAGAATCATCTCTAAATGTCCTACTTAGGTATTAGTGCCATGAACTGTGTCATATAATTAAACTTTCCACAAATCTGAATGAAATTGAATTATTTAAAAAAAATTGGTGAATGACTATTAGTTGGTTAACTAGGAGTGTCAAACACACTTCTTCCTTAATAAGTGTTGTATTGACAAGACTTGTTACTTACTACAGGGGAAGGATACACCATCGACCTCCTTGTGTGTCAATGTTTCATGTATAAAATGGGAGAGAGAAATGGCTCTTGAAAACCCATAGAGTAATGGCTCATCTAGGACAAGAAAATTGATGTGAAAATGATTTGCAAACCCTAAAATGTTAAAAAATTGACTTTTTATCATTATGAGAATTCAAGTGAGTTAATATTTTTAAGTTTGATTGCTAAAAAAAATAGTCCTTTTATTTTAATAGGGGCTTCCAAATTTTTGTGTCAAATGTATGATTAATAGTCATCTATCACGGCCAGTAAACTGCTTATTTATCAACTTAGTCAAGGAGTAAATAGAGTCTGGAAATAAGATGTGGAGATACAGTCTATATTATTCAACCTTCTGTGTGGTTATGGGTGCCCAAGTTCCTGAGCACAAATGATTGATGCCACTCCCAACCCTGAAATCTTTTACATGAACCTTTGTGCTCTCATCCACCATCCACAGACTGCAGAAAGAGATGGGAAATGGAAGGCTACAGAGCCAGAGGGTAAAAAACCTCAGGTTCCTGATATTGAAATGAGGCCCTTGAAGACCTGCATTACACTGTGATGTAACCAATAAATAAATTCTTGAACAAAACAGTAACAAAGAAGCAAAACAAATATTAGAGACTCGGAGTGATTTGACTCTTGGCTTCACCTGACCAGCAAGGGGTGCACAGATTATAAGGCAGAGAGATGCCCCAAGGTGAATGAAGGAAGAAGAGACTCATGCACTGTCCACAGAGAATTTAAAAACACAAAATAAAATTCCTCTAATCCAGTCTTCCTCTTATTATCACCATACACTGACAAATCTAAACAATGTCAGCGACAAAGTCTTCCTCTTCATGCAGGGAAGAGGTCATATACGCAAGAGGGAGTGGAAGAGAGGAGGCTCCTTCTCCCCTTCATTCCACTCCTGCTTGGTATGCAACTGCTCTGGGGAAACAAGACAAACAGACAAAACCTACAGGGCTAAGGATTGGGATTGTTGTAAATTGCCATTCTACCACTTTCGAAAGGAAGTTTTCCAATCCTTCCATCTGGGAGGTGGACGTAAGACTTAATTCACTGAGTTTTCTGAGGATCAAATGAGGCAAGACCTCTGAAACATTTGGTATATTTCATAAATATCATGTGAGTGAATGCTGGTATTACTACTACTCTATTGAAAATTATTTTTATATGACTGTCATGATCACATGCATGATCAACTTGGCAGTATATCATAAACCACCACTTTCTTTTTATTATATACCTATATGGGTAGGCTGTTACAAACTGGAGAGAAAGACTAAAATTGCTTTTTATGAAAAATACTGCTTCTTCA